GCTCGGTGCCCCTGTGGACGGCCCCGCCGCTCCCGATGCCGGCACCTTACGGCGGCAGGCTGCGGAGGGAGGGATGTCGTGCTCACTCACCTCTGCTGCAGACAGAGCCACATGCCCCACAAATAAAGCCTCGTGCTGTAAAACAGTATGGTGTCTACCTAAGTGACAAACGTGTCACAAAGGGCACACTAACAAACCCCCAGGTCCCATCACGGCAGTCAGACAGACCACCATCTCCCGCGGGAAGGGCAGCTGACACCGGAGACTGACACAGGACTGCCCCCGTCACTCAGCTCCCCGTCACTCAGTAGGTGACCCTGACCTACCGTGATGAACGTCTCGTTCCCAGGACTCAGGCCAACCGCAGGAACACATACACTGAGCCGCAGAGGAAGCAGGGCCCAGTCCCGGCGCCAGAGCGCGCCCAGCTGCCGACCCGGTTCCCACGGGCATGGCCAGGAGCGTCCCCAGCCCTTCCAAGGGACGAAGAGAGAAATGCCACGGCACCCCGCATGCTTCACCTCAGCTGTGAGCACACGCTGTGTCACAAGCCATAAACCGATGGCTGGACACCTGTCCTATACGCGTCACTAGTGTAACAAACATGAAACTACCTGGTTATGTGCCTCTTGGTCAACCAACTTGGGCACAAACATGTTTAGGTCCAAACACCTAGTGAGCTGTTTGTATTTTTTAGCTGGTGTTTTGGCAGCAACAGTTCCTATGGAAAGTGCAGCTCAAAGACACAACACAAAACACGGGACCACACGAGACAGTATTGATCTGTACAAAAAGGAATCGCAGCCTAGTTGAGCAACCAGTGTCCTGCAGGACGTTAACCGTGTTCATGGAGAGCTAGAAATTTAAAGCAAAGTAAAAGCCCCAATCCAACTACTTAGAACATCGACTGTTTTCATACTAATACCAACATTTATACCCAGCTAAACGTACGTGTACACACACACGTATATAATTTTCAAGTCAAAATAAAAACTCAAGTTTTCATCCAAATTAAAAAGGAAGCTACGTTTGGAGAAAATGCTCAAAAACGCCCCTTAGGACTTTTGGACGGCGGTGTCCATGGTGCTTTGGGGTGACACAGGTTCAGGGGCCACCCAGCTGGTGCCAGGAGGGCGAGCTCAGACACGCGGAGCAGGACCCAGCACGGGGCTGCAGAGCCACCAGCCGCGAGACTCAGCGCCCAGGGCCAGCAGTGTCTGGACCCCGCAGTTTAGGAACTCAGTTTCAAGGGTTTTCCTCTGGGTCCGGGGGGTAAACATACGGACAGGCCATGCCCCCCACCCCAGGAAGCCAAAGGCCCGTGGACCCCATTCACCCCACTGCCAAGACAGAGAGTATATACCTGGGAAGGGAAATGTTTCAGGAGAGCCACGCCTATGAATGCGACGCCCAGCTGTGTTGACTTCTTCCAGAAGGAGGGAAAGCGGGAGCGGATGCCTACTCACCACTTACAGACACACTGTGCACCTTTACAACGTGAAGATGTGCCCCTGGGCCCTCACGATCTCAGCCAGGAAAAGGCCACGCACACACGGAGCTGGGAGAGGGGTGCAGACCTGGGGGAGCTCACAGAGTGAGGCGACACCTTCAGCACTGCCCCGTTCCCACTTTACTCGCTTCGCCAACTCTGATTTTGTTTGTTCGGTTTCAATTTTAGGTTGCTTCCCTGATGCAACCCCTCTGCCGCCACCGCCCCCTACCCTCCCCCACCCCCCCCCCCCCCCCCCCCCCTTCCGGCCCGGGCAATCAGAAGCCAGAGGCCACACAGTTTCCAGCAGAGAGGAGCTTGTGACAGACCCAGGTGCTTGCTGGAACGTCAGAAGAGCTGAGGTAGGGGGCCGGGGGCCAGGCCACAGGGACGAGCCCCAAGCTTCAGGACCCATGCATTCCCCACAGGGCACCAAACTCCGCCTCCTCCACCTGCCCCACCAGGCCCACAAAAGAGGAATGGAAGTAGAAATGTAGACGCTAAGAGCGGACAATGTAACCAAGATCAGCGGGGAAGGGAACACGATCTAGGGCCAACTGAGGAGCAAGGAGAAGGTTGACTGAGGGAAGGACGGACTCAGGGCGACCGTGGAAAACAAACAGACTCAGAAGTGGAAAACCGGCCGAACCAACACGCACGGAGACTGGGGAGCTGGCAGCGCGGGTGAGGAACCAGGACGCGAACAGGCCCCTGCGGGCTGACTCCACCGCCAGCCCTGTCTCCAGCGGTTACACGGTGGGTGAGCCGTCAGACCCACGCGGGGAAGGACAACCCTCGTGCTGGTTTCAGCGTGTGCATGTCCGTCCCTGTGAGAACACAGTCTGGTCTGTCTGGCAGTAAATATGAGAAGCGTACTCCAAAGAGTGACCAAAAGAGTAATTTTTAAAAGCTGCTGTGACTTCCTTTAATCTGAAGATCTCAGGAGTATAAGACACAGAAATGGAGAGGGTAAAAAAGATCACTCCCATTTATACAGAAACCGAGAGACACAAGATGTCACTTTACAATGGGGGGGGGGGGACAAAACAAATACAGGCACATTCAGCATTTCAAAGACAGGCAAACTTCCACAGCTTCCAGGGTGTTCCCCCCCGCCCCCCAGTTTGAGAATTTAAGTCCAGAGATTAACTTTTATTTCCAGTTGGTTACGTAAAGGTTTTACCAAAGCCTACCTCTCTTTCACTAGACGTTTGGCTTACCTCTTTCTGGCGACCTACAAATCGGATTTTCCTGTAGTCTTTATCATCATAAGCCTGAAAAAAAAAAAAAGACCTTATATAATTTTCACAGCCTGATCCGGGAAGAAGTCACTTCATACCAAGAGTAAACATTACAGGAAAGTGTTTTCTCTTAACATTCTGGCCACTCGTGACCAAGTGCGTGAGGCGCAAAGTGTAACTTCGTGACCAGGGGCATTCTCCAGCGAGATACCGAAGGTGAGACGGGACAACAATCGGAATCGGAAGGTAGCGAGGTGCGGTCTGAAAGAGCAGAGACCAACTCGGGCAGAGGAGGGGCACCCCCAATTTTCTTTCACCTCTGGCCGACACCGGATAAAAGTGTCGGCTAGGGGACTCCTCAATAACACAGGTACCTCGCTCACTTTTCCGCCTTCCGTTTTAGACTACAGCGGCCCCTCGGCTTGTTAAAATGTACGGCCTAGCACCGCGGACACGACAGGAAGCGCACGCGGGCCCCGACGGTCAGCCTGTCCACAGGGACGGGCCTGATGCTGGAGCTGGCGACGCTCGGAGGACGAGCCTACCCTGACTGCAGAGGCACGGCGGCGGCCGTGGGGGTGGGGCGGCTTCCGTCTCGTCGGTCAGAGCGTGGGACCCCCGCACACACCCACCCTAATGTGAACGGGGGCCGGCCCGGGACTCGGCCTGCGGGACCCTGCCCACCGGCCGGCGCGTCCCCCGGCCGCAGGGGGAGGGGACCGGAGGAACGGGAAGCCGAGATGGAGGGCGTCCTCCACGCCGCGGCGGTTACCTGGCCGGTGTGCGTAATCTTCTCCCCGGTCGGTGAAGTCCGCACCCCTAGACACCTGGCGCCACGGGGAAGGCTCAGCGCCGCCAGACCGCTCCGGCCCAGCAGCCGGCAGAAGGTCACCGTCGCCGCCATCTTTGCGGGCTGACCCCTGACCCGGCGCACCGACGCGCTGACGCGTGCGCACGGCTTCCGCGGGGGGGGGGGGGGGGGGGGGGGGGGGAGGGGCTCTTGCTGCGGCGACTTACGCTGGGGGCGGGGACGCGCAAGCGCAGTGCGCTCGGGCGAGTGCCTCCCAGCAGGTGCAACGGTGGGGCCGAGGCTCAGTACTGAAAAGGCGGGAAAATTTGTGCGCAACCTGAACATTTATCGACTGCTGAGTGGCCCTCCTGCCAGGGCTAGGGCAGAGCAGGATGGAAAATGAAAGGGCACTCTTCACATTCGATGACAATTGATAATCATGGAAGGAGGTTAGGTATCTAATGTTTTTATTGGCGAAGGGTCCTTGCATTGCCTAAACTGTATGTACATTCACGTTGCGCAGCGCGCATTTCTGTGTGGGCGCGGGGACAGCAGAAATTGGGATTTCTGCAGCAGAACTCCAGTGAAGCTACCAGTAGGACACATTCGATGTCATCCCCATGCAGATCAGCCCCGAGGGCGCCCTGCTCTAGAGCACACCTATGCAGACCCGCGAGGGCGGTCCCGGTGCTTCCCTCTCCGAACTGCCTGTTCATAGATGGGTCAGGAGAGCCAATTACGCCGAGGGCGGTGGGCACGGGGGGCAGACTCAGAGTTCAGAGCTAGGGTGGGGATGCCCCCCCACCCGCCAGGAGTTGAGGACACCCACAGCCCGGATTCCGGGAGGTGGAAGAGAACTCAGCAAGGTGAGGAGAGACGAGATGCACCGGAAATCTCAGAACGGAAAGATGCCCACAAACAGGTACCCAGAGGCAGGGCCAAAGCTCGCCTGGGCAGGTGCAAGAGTGAGCTCGCTGCCTTATCGATGGTGCGCAGATGGGCCGCCGTCTGCAGGTCGCCTCCGTGTGCACGGACAGTAGATGGATGGGTGGGCACACATACCCGGAATGACAACATGCACTGGGTTCAGTGTGGACTCTGGTGGTGGGTAGATGGGTGCTCACTGTAGTCCTTCACCGTTTGTTTGAAGTGTCTCATTAAAGAATACGGGCGGGAAAAAAAGATATCTAACTGCAACCAGTTAGGACCAGTGCCTATCTCCTCCACTGCTTCCCAGAGCCTCAACACATTTCTCCCAGGATGTGCACTTAATACAAACGTGTGAATTCTTCTAGATTTTTGTTTTGAGCCGGTATTCGTTTTTTTTTAAACGGCTACTTGGTTGTGACTTATTTTTCATTCCAGATGTGTATTTCTGGTCCCATTTTGTCAGCCTCCGAGGCCGTAGGTACCCAGTGGCGGGAGGGCGTCCGCGCAGGGGTAGCTGGGGCTCCTGCAGCTCCGCCTCTGCGCCCGGCGCTGCGGGGACGACCACGTGACCCTGCCGCCATCTTTTTTTCTGGCGGACACTGAGGGCGGCGGCTTCTCCGCCCCATTGCGCAGGCGCATGCGAGGCGCGCAGGCGACAGTCCCCGGCGCCTTCTTCCCAGGTCTGTGGTCCTGGGGGTCGCGTGGGGCCGGGGAGGAGGAGGGGGCGGAGGCTCGGGAGTCCCCGGGTGGGTCGCGGCCGCAGGTCCGGGCTGTCCACGCCCCGGAGGGATGCTGTCCCCGGCCGGCGGGCTCCCCCGGGGCCCGGAGACAGACGAGGGGCGGCGGAGGGGCGGAGGAGCCAGGGAAAAGGCCCCGGGACAGCCGAGTGGCGGCGGAGGGGCCGGGGGGGGGGGGTGGGGGGGCTGGCGGCGAAACTCCTCCTCCCGCGCGGAGGCCATACGGATTGTTTCTCGGTCCCCCGCAGGCCCGGCCACCACATGGCCCGCGTGCTCGTGGCGAAGATGCTGGCGTGCGCCCTGAGCCCGCTGCTCCGGGGGAGCCCCGGGCCGGCGAAGCCCCGCGCGCTCTCCACTCTCCTGGCGGGACCTCTTCGCACCGCGGGGCCCGCGGGACCCTGGCCCCTGCCCGGCGGCCTCCTGCCCGGCCTGCAGCTTGCCCTGGGCTTCAAGACCAAGGGCGTCATCAAGGAGCGCTGTCGGGACTGCTACCGGGTGAAGAGGCGCGGGCGCTGGTTCATCTACTGCAAAACGAACCCAAAACACAAACAGAGACAGATGTAGGTCTCCGCCGTAAAATAATGTGCAAGACTGTGTCCCTATCTTGAGGAACGGTACTACCTCGTGGAAAGGAAAATAAAAGTGAAGCAGTGCCTAATCTAAGATCTGTCGAGCCTCGGGTTTTGTTGACTCTACCGCCGGGCACCTCACCCCCATGTAGCAGCGCAGCCAGGTCAGCTGGTCAAGCCAGAGCCCCGGATGGAAAGCGCATCGTTCTTATCTTCTGGGCAAGCCGTCCGTGCTCGGGCTGCAGGGCAGGAGGCAAGATGGAGGGGGCGTGGGTCTTGCTTCTGAGGCGCCCCTGCAAGGCGGCGTCCGGCCCTGTCCCCGCATTTAGCCCGCCTGCAGCTTCTGAGTGCCAACTGCTCCGCTCCCTGGCCGCGGATGAAAGCCTTGACGGCAATCCTTACATCAAGGAAAGTTTGGTTCCCCGAGTGTAAAGGTGTTTTAGACACCAGTTAGACGTGTTTGTCATCTCTGGTGACGCACGAATGGACACGTGTGTGGTGTGGGTGCGCTGTGCACACGTGCATGTCCCCGTATGCATGGATGTGGGTGGTGTGTGCACGTATTTGTACGTGCATGTCCCCATTTGCGTGGATGTGGTGTGTGCATGTATCTGTACACATGTACGCACGACGCACCTGGAGGGTGTGTACTAAGCAGAGCCACCGTGGGACTCCGCAGGCATGTGGCCTGCAGTGTTCTTGTGTCTCGTGTCCCAGCGGCTGTGTCACCCGCACGGTCTGAGCCCCCCACACAATGTCCCCGGCCCCCCTGGCAGCCTTGGTGTCCGGGCCACAGCTGGAGCGGGTTGTACTAGGAGGACAGTGGTACAGGCATCGCACCGTGCGTGGGCAGCTCCGTGTGCCACGCTAAGGCACGGCGCACACACAGTCCTGCTCTCCGGGGTCCTGACCACGATGCCCGGAACCACAGCACAGAGCCCAGGAGGCAGCTCAGGACAAGAAGTGACACGGTTTTGCACATTATGTCACAGAGCAGTTTGTCCTGGGAGACGGCGGGGTTCAGCTAGTTCTACTGGAGTAAAGACGTTCTTTCCCCACGTTGCTTCAGGGGGTCCCGGGACCCCTGCCCTGGTTTGAGAACAGCCAGCCCATATAGACGCTGTAACGCTTAGACTTGTTTTCTCTGAAGCGAGCTGTGTTGAGTGCAGGGGGTCTGAGGGTAATTACCTCCTGCACAGACCTCAGTCCTAGAGCAGCTGCAGAGGAGCCCTGTGACCTCAGGAGGTTTCCCCTCTCAGCACAGCTGGCCCTCAGGACACAGTTTTCCCAGTGCAGGGCCGTCCAGGGCACTGAAGTGTGTGCAGCAGCAGCATCAGCCCCCACCCACTAGATGGCCAAGAGCACCTCATCGCTGGTTTTGACAACCGAAAGTGTCTCCAGACCTGGCAGACGTTCCCCGGGCACGATCTGCCCTGGAGGGGCTGACACGCAGGGGCTGATTCCGCCCAGCCCTCCCCGCAGGGTTCCTCTGAGAACCAGAGACCTGGGTTGGGCAGGGCCCGGTTCTGTCGTGCTCCGCCCTCCGGCTGTCACAGGCCCCGCCCACCGTAGGCACTCAGTGATAACCGTGGAATCAGATGACCGTGCCTGCTTGTAAATACACAGCCTTTTGTCCTCTCCACTCAGAACAGGCTCATCCTTAAGGTTCGGCACACAACTTTGTTCCGAAGACGTGGCAGACTGGCCCTGTCCCCGCGGGCTCAGCCACCTCCCCTGTGGGGGAGAGTTTGATGCCACACCCGTCACAGACCCGCAACGCACCAGGCATGCCTTCTCAGTGTTTTCTCCTTGACAGGTGCGAGGTTTCACATGCCATTGTGCGTGTCTGGCTCTGTGTGGGGCTGACGGTGTTGTCACAACCACAGGCACGTGCCTCTGTGGAGATCTTCAAAGGGCAGGCAGTAATGGGGTAGTGAAGCCATGGGCCCCAAGTCCACAGGAACCCATGATTACAGTTGACAAGCTGGAATTCTAACAGGCTGTTGATGGGCTTTTAAGTCCTTCCTCCCTCCTGGGATTATTCGTCCCTATTTGATCCAAGGTGACCGTGTGAGTGCTGACCAAACCCTCGCACAGCCCATTCCCTTTCCGATACCTGCACGGACCAGCGTTCAGAGTCCCAGGGTCTACCTGCAGGGACCAGCATTCAGAGCCCTGGGATTCCAGCTTAGCAGCAAGTATTGTTTAGGACAAGAGACAGCAAGCTACTCCCGCCCACCACCCATTTTTGTAAGTGAAGTTTTATTGGAAAACAGCCGTGCGCGCTCACGAATGTATCATCCGTGCCTCTATGACAGTGGGGTAGCCGCTGAGTAATTGCTATAAAGAACATATGGCTTGAAAAACCTAAAGATATTTACTATTTGAGCTCTACGTGCAGAAAAAGTGTGCCAACTCCTTGTTTAGAACGTTACATAAGCTCTCACCTCACCCTGGGGCTTGACTTCAGAGACCACAACCGGCCAGAAGCGTTTCACGGGTTCTCCGTCGTCCACACAGTGAGAAGGATTTTTGTATTTGTAAATACTAGCCATAAACAAATAGAAATTGACATAAAAAGCGGTGTTTGTAATAGCACCGAAAACATGAATGTTTAGATACCAAAGTAATAAAATCTGCACGCATTCTATATACTTAAAATTGTAGGGGCGCCTGGGTGGCTCAGTCGGTTAAGCGTCCGACTTCAGCCAGGTCACGATCTTGCGGTCCGTGAGTTCCAGCCCCGCGTCGGGCTCTGGGCTGATGGCTCAGAGCCTGGGGCCTGCTTCCGATTCTGTGTCTCCCTCTCTCTCTGCCCCTCCCCCGTTCATGCTCTGTCTCTCTCTGTCTCAAAAATAAATAAACGTTAAAAAAAAAAATTTAAAAAAAATAAAAAAATTGTAAAACACTGTTGAAAGAATGTGAGTGAAATGTAAATAAGTATTTACATGTACCATGGTTATGGATTAGAATATTTGACATTGTCAGTTCTCACCAAATTAGTCTGCAAACTCACTGTAGTCCCAATAAAAATCCCAGCAGGAATTTTTGTGCAAAATGCCATGCTTCTTCAGAATTTTACGTGGAAAGGCAAAGTATGTAAAATTAGCCAGAATTTTGAAAATGCGAAGAAATGTTAAAGGAGGCATGCTCCCTGATTTCAAAACTTACTTTGAAGCCACAGTAGCCAAGACACCGTAGTATTCATGCAGCACAGCTCATAGGTCAGTAGAATCGAACAGAGATGTCAGAGATAGGCCCGCACATATGTGGTCAGATGATTTTCAAAACAGGTTTAAAGGCGATTCAGTGAAGAAAGGATAGGCTTTTGTACATATGGTGCTAGAAAGTTGGATTTCCATATATACAAAATCCCTTTCACCATATACAGAGGTTAACTAAAAATAAATCACAGACCTAAATGTAAAACCTAATATTATAAAATCTTAAGAAAACAGAAAATACATGTGGCTTTGGGTCATGCAGATTTATTAGCTAAAACACCAAAAACATGATCCATGAAAGAAAACCTTCATAAATTAGATTTTACCAAAGTTAGGATCTTCAAAATATTTTCATCAAAGTTAGTATCTTCTGCTTTTCAAAAGATACTGTCAAGTAAACGAAGACAAGCCAAGAGCTGAGAGAAAAGCTTTGCAAAACACATTTCTGGTAAAGGAATGGATCTAGAATATATAAAGAAATCTCAGAACTCAATAACAAAGAAACGGCCAACACAATTCAAAGTGGGCAAAAGATTCGAAGAGCTATTTCACAAAGGTACACACACCGATGGAAAATAAACACAAAAAAAATGTTTAACACTGGCTTCAGCAAAAAGTAAATTGCTGCCATGACAAAATAATACTACAGACCCAACAGAATGGTTGAGAAATAGAAAAACCACGTTCTGGTGAGATCGTGTAGCAAGGGTAACCCTCACTGCAGATAACACAGACACGTTGAATGCGGCTTGGCCATTTGTCATAAAGTTGAATGATGCAATCACTTAGCAATCCCTTGAGTATTTGCCCGAGAGCAATGAAAACTTAGGTTCACAATAAAACCTTTATGTCAGTGTTTATGGTGGCTTTATTTACAATTCAAACGAAAACCACCCCAACTGGAAACAGCCCACATGGGCTTCAGCCGGTGAACGGATTAACCAAGCATACATTCTTACAGTGGAATTCTCAGCAACAAGAAGGAAAGAATTGATAGGAATGAAAGCATGAATGAATCTCAGATCCACCACACTGGTTGACAGAAGCCTGCACTCAAAAGCTATATACTTCATGATTCCAGTTATATGACATTATGGAAAAGTCAAAATTATGGGCACAGGAGAAAGTCTGTTGTTGGGAGCTGGGGGTGGGGAGCCAGGGTTGGCTACGAGGGGACGTGAAGGAATGCTTTTGGGTGATGGAAATGTTCTGTCTTGATTATGGCAGCAATTTCATGACAATATACGCTTATAGAACTCCTAGAACTCAACTTCAGTAAGCCTTGCAAAAAAAATAGCCAAATGGAATTTCCAGATAGCTAGTTGAGATCAAATAAATAAAGACCCAGGAACGCAGTGCGCTGTGGGACAGTATCCAGCACTGTAGCGTAAATGGCATTGCTGCCCTGGGGGAGGGTGGAGAAAAACCAACCGTGGAAGAAATAATGGCCAAAATGTTTCCCTGGTTGATGGAAGCAATAAATCCACAAATCCAAGAATCTTAACAAACCTCAGTCAGGAGGAATATAAAGAAAACCACATAATTCTACATCATGATTGAATTGCTCAGTATCAGATAAAAAGAAAAAATGCAGACAGAGAAACGAGATTCACTCTTCATAGAGGGACAAAACAGCAGCAGACTTGTCAGAGACCGTGCAGCCTGAAAGGCAGTAAAACCTCTGAGGTGCTGCGGAGAAATCTAGTCTAGTGAAAACATCTCCGAAAACTAAGGGTGAAGATCCACCAAAGCTGGAAGAAGTCAGCTGGAAACACAGATCTACACAAAGACATGAAAAGCTAGAAACAGTGACTGTTTATTTGGGTAAATATAAAAGATACTCTTTCCTCATTTAAAAATCACGTAAGGA